CTAGTGAGGCCAGGGGGTGCCTTGAGATCCTTTTAAAGGAACCACAGGGTGCCACCAATGTTAGCGGTGCACGGTGTGCCAACAGGATTCACAAGATAAAAAGGACTCAACAGCCTTCAGACCATGCTGTGGTGGCCTTCCTGAGGCAAAGACCATATTTGCTTATTTTTCTGTTGCCAAAAAATAGATCAGGGACAGCTCAGCACTGGCACTCTTCCCAGGGTGCTGCGAGTCTACACTGAGGGCAGCAAATCTAACCAGGTTGAAACCAGTGTTGCCAGATCTTAAATATGAAATTATGGTATTGGAAGCTCAAAATGATTGTATTTTCTGAAAAACTAGCATACACTGAAAAATGATGCCAATAAGTATGCAAATAAGTCTTTTTCTTTTTACTGATATTGCTCTCTGTAAGTCACCAGTGAGTGAGTGAGAGAGAACTGGGTCATCAAAGTTGAAGCATTTCTTTATTTCGAGGCAAACCATCATAAGAGAGTGCTGACAGCAAACCCAAAAGCCAATTAAGGCTCTCTGAGAGTGACTTGGGTTTTGCATGTACTGCATCAATTAACTGCCTCAAAAATGATCAGGGACATTTGGTAGCTGTGTTGGTCTGAGACCACCCCATGGGAAGACTGGGTCCAATGGTCACAAACTCCAGAAAGACCATTTTAGGCTGGATATAAGGAAAAACGTCTTTACTGTCTAATAAAAAGGCATCGTCTCTGAACCAAGAGCTCTAGAATTTTGCGTTTCAAAAGTCATCATACATTTTAGGAGTACAGGTTGTAGCCGTGTTGGTCTAAGGACAGGGGCAAAGTTTTTGGGGCAAATCGGAGACCTTGTCTTTGCTGTGCATGTTAACACTTTTACTGTGATTGACCGGACACTCGAGGGTTGACATTATCCAACAGATGTGATGATGGCGGTACACCTAGCAACACCCAGGTGCCGGGGGGACACCGCGCTGTGCGGGTGAGGCGGGCAGAGGAGCTGTTCCCGCGGCGGGCGGGCGGGGGCGCTGCGGCGCCGCCCTTGGGCTCGGGGCGCCCGTGCCCAGCAGCCGGACTGCATTTCCCAGCGTGCTCCGCGGGCGGGGCAGGAAGTCCCGTGGCGGTGAGTCAGGGGCC